CGTCTATAACCTGCTGTGCATCTGTGCGGCGTGTGGCCTGCTGACCTCTGCGGTGCGTGACCTCACACACACACACACACACACACACAACACGCTCGTTATTCACGTGGTGTAAGCGTGTGCATGTGTGTGTTTTACAGGTGGGTCGTCTCTCCTGCTGGCCGTTGTTCAGGGATTGTGTGGCGTACGCCATCAGCGTCACCGCAGTCATCGCCATCATCTCAGATAACAGAGTTCACTGGTGAGTCTGTGATGATTCTGAGCCTCAGACACACTCTGAGTCTGAACAAAACAGTTTTTTATAAAAATGCTGTGTTTGATCAGTTAGTAAAGTAGCAGCACACTGTTCATAACAAGTACGCCGGACACGTCCTGAAAAGCAAAGCCAAAACATTGGTGCAAACATCTGGTGGCTGGCTGCAGTAAAGGTCATTAACCCCGCCCTCTCCGTGTAAGCTATTGGACATAAGTCGAGCTAAAAATTCTAATTATACTTCAAATATATTTTTCCCAAAGATAGATTCAATCATTAGTTAGGTAGTTCTTGTCACGCTGATATGTTTTTTTTTTTTACAAGTTTGCGTTTAGTTTGTTATTTGATGCTATAAAAACGGGGTGTGGTGTAATGACTGTGAGCTCGCAACGGGTTTGCAGGAGTTTGGGCGGGACTTTGATACAGCAGCTCCACCTCACGATCACTCCTGCGCAGACTGGGGCTCCAAATGAATCAGTACTGCGCAGACTCAGGCTCCAAACGAATCAGTACTGCGCAGACTCAGGCTCCAAATGAATCAGTACTGCGCAGACTGGGGCTCCAAATGAATCAGTACTACGCAGACTCAGGCTCCAAATTAATCAGTGCTGCGCAGACTGGGGCTCCAAATGAATCAGTACTGCGCAGACTCAGGCTCCAAATGAATCAGTACTGCGCAGACTCTGGCTTCAAACGAATCACTGCTGTGCAGACTTGAGCTCCAAATGAATCAGTGCTGCGCAGACTCTGGCTCCAAATGAATCAGTACTGTGCAGACTCAGGCTCCAAACGAATCAGTGCTGCGCAGACTCAGGCTCCAAACGAATCAGTACTGCGCAGACTCAGGCTCCAAACGAATCAGTACTGCGCAGACTCAGGCTCCAAACGAATCAGTACTGCGCAGACTCAGGCTCCAAACGAATCAGTACTGCGCAGACTCAGGCTCCAAACGAATCAGTACTGCGCAGACTCAGGCTCCAAACGAATCAGTACTGCGCAGACTCAGGCTCCAAACGAATCAGTACTGCGCAGACTCAGGCGCCAAACGAATCACTTATGTGCAGATTATGACTCCAAATGAATCACTTTTGCACAGATTCTGGCTTCAAACGAATCAGTACTGCGCAGACTCGAGCTCCAAATGACATCATTTTTGCAAGATGACAACAGCCTTACTCAAAAAAAAAAGTGACGCAAACATCACTTACAGTTTGGCCAGCAAAAGTACATCATCCGCTATCTTCATAGCCCTCAGCTTTGACTGTGATCTGATGGTTGTGTCTGCAGGTATGACAGCGCCTGTCTTCTGCTGGTGTATGGCGTGTACGTGTGTGTGCTGTGTTTCGATCTGAAGATCAGTGAGTACGTGATGCAGCGCTTCAGCCCGTGCTGCTCGTGTCTGAATAAGAGCTTGCGGGAGCACGACGAACAGCAACCGCTGGTGGGATGGAGCGACGACAGCAGCCTCCGCCTTCACCGCCGCTCCCGAGCCGACAGCGGCATCTTCCAGGACGACTCCGGATATTCCCACCTCTCGCTCAGCCTGCACGGTCTTAACGAGATAACCGACGGTACGTCATCACGTCACAACCTCTTCACATCAAAACATCTTTCTGCTTTTCTGTTGCATCTCACTGTCTTTTTGTTAAAGTCTTTTTATTATCATTTTGGTAATGCCTACAAAGGATCCCATACCCGCAAAACAAATTTCTACTGCATATAACAAGCAAATAATAAATAATAATAATAATCCATTAATACAAAAAACAAATAAAAAGATGCCCCATTATATAAATTTCAGCCCAAATAAATAAATAAATAATACAAATAGTAATGACAAAAATAGATTCTTTATGGTTTTAAATACATAAATTAATAAAAATAGAAATAAAATATTTATATAATTAATATATTATTAAAATATATTAATACAATAGTAATAATAATAATAGAAAAACACACATAAAAAGCTGGTTCATTACATACATTTGGCTTATATATATATATATACGTTTATTAAGACATCATTAACTTGGAGTCCATTTCTCTAATGCATGTCAAGACCGGCATAGAATTTGTGGCTGTGAACTTGTACTGAACACATTTTTCCAGTGTAAGCTGATGCATGAGTCTCTAAGCCAATGTGCAAAAGTAGCATTTGTTTCAAGTTGAAAGTAGTTTAACTTTAAAAAAATGCATCTCATTCTGTTTAGTGTGTCTTCAGCAGCCTCACGTTTGCACGTTTCTCTCTCTCTCTCAGAGCAGAAGAGCGTGTTCACGATGCCGGAGCACGATCTGAAGCGGATCCTGTGGGTTCTGTCGCTGCCGGTCGTCGTGCTGCTGTTCCTGACCGTTCCCGACTGCAGGAGACGCTTCTGGAGGAGGTGCTACATGATCACCTTCCTGATGTCGGCCGTCTGGATCTCCGGATTCACATACGTGCTGGTGTGGATGGTCACCGTCGTCGGTAAACGTGCTTTCGTCTGTTTGTTCTGTTGTTGCAGTGATTTATCTGGTAGACAGTCATCACAGTGACCGGCAGTGCTGGGAATCAAACCCACGACCTTTGTGTTGCGAACATCAACCCGATGAGCTACAGGAATGCAAGTCAAGTTTAGTTATATAGCACTTTTCACAAAACACATAGATTCAAAGTAGCTTTACAGAAAGTCACAATGTTTTGTCTATAATGCCTTATTGGTTTTGTTCGATTACGAGATTTAAATGTTTGTCGGTTTTGTTCGATTACGAGATTTAAATGTTTGTCGGTTTTGTTCAGTTACGAGATTTAAATGTTTGTCGGTTTTGTTTGATTAAGAGATTTAAATGTTTGTCAGTTTTGTTCGATTACGAGATTGAAATGTTTGTCAGTTTTGTTCGATTACGAGATTGAAATGTTTGTCAGTTTTGTTCGATTACGAGATTCAATTGTTTGTCGGTTTTGTTCGATTACGAGATTTAAATGTTTGTCGGTTTTGTTCGATTACGAGATTTAAATGTTTGTCGGTTTTGTTCAGTTACGAGATTTAAATGTTTGTCGGTTTTGTTCAGTTACGAGATTTAAATGTTTGTCGGTTTTGTTCGATTACGAGATTGAAATGTTTGTTGGTTTTGTTCGATTACGAGATTTAAATGTTTGCCAGTTTTGTTCGATTACGAGATTTAAATGTTTGTCGGTTTTGTTCGATTACGAGATTTAAATGTTTGACGGTTTTGTTCAAAGTGAGACTAAGTGATTCTAAAAAATAGTATTTATGAAAATAAGATCGTATGTCGCAGGTGAAAAATAGCTGGACGTCAAAGAGTCTGATGTGAGTTTAACATCCTCCAAATTGAATTATCATCCATTTAATCGATGATGTTAAGAAACAGAAGATATGGCGTTAATTTAAATTAGTAATGTCTCTGATTTCAGGCAGAATTACTATTTTGTAATGTTGTTCTTCACTGTGGCTAAAAAGTACTTAAATCATGGTAAAGATTTCAGTCCTATCGCACACCTCTAAGTAGCTGCAATGCCAGTTTTGGGGAAAATTACTTTTAAAAGTAATGCATTATAATATTACACTACTCCATAAAAAAGTAACTAATTGCATTTCTTAGTTTTTATGGAAAGTACTGCATTACATTACTTTTTGTCACCTGAGCTGTGTTTGCTTATTTGTTTTTTAATAACAAAAAAATAACAAAAGTTATATTTGTGGCAACTGTAAAGGCCCTTTCACACCAAAAGTGAATTTAATAATCCTCAGGCTGAAGGAAAATCCCTCCTGATTTCTCTCAACACGGGACAGGAGAGCTGTCGGTCAACACATGGGAAAATAAAGTAACTTGCGTTACTTATCTGAAATAGTACTTCTGATATTTTGTTGTAAATCAACATTTTCCAGCATTAGTGCAGACATGCAGGTGTGATGTTGTGTGACACAGTCGCTCTTGTGATCTGCCCTTTCTGAAGTGTGTGGAATATTTCATACTGTATGCAATTGACAGAAAAAACTGCCGTTGTTCCTCCAGAGTCACATCTAGTTTTATCCTGCATGTTAGTCGTGTTTCAATTCAGTGTTGCAGGTTTTAGCATGTCTAGTTTGCTCTGATTGATTATTTCGCATTGCATTAGTTCCCAGCCGCAGTCGTCGTGTAGCTGCGCTGCAGATGTCGGGTTTTGGAGCGGGTCACATGCACCGTCTCCATTCCTGAAATGCCAGCGCTGTATCCTGAAGGATTATGATGCTGGAGACTCGAGTCTCTCCGCTCGGTCCGCGCTGGATTACGGTCGGCTGAAGCCCACGGGGTCTGTGAGAAACCATGTGATGCAGCTGCATATAATAGGATTATTATCCTGCACACGGTCACACAGATTCACATGAGCGCTGGAGAGCCGGCGGAGCTTTAGAGCGACTCTAATGATCAGGTACTGAGAGAGAAACCCTGAGGACGAGGACCTCACTCTGAACCTCCTGCCCCTCAGAGACGCCCCTCATAGATTTGTAACCTTTCAGAAAGAAGTCTCTTCTGCTCACCACGGCTGCATTTATTTGATCAGAAATACAGTACAAAACTGTGAAATATTATTATGATTTAAAACAGCTGTTTTCTATATGAATATGTGTTAAACTGTAATGTATTTCTGTGATGCGCAGCTGTATTTTCAGCATCATTCCTCCAGTCTTCAGTGTCACATGATCTTCAGAAATCAGTATAATATGCTGATCTGCTGCTCGAGAAACATTTCTGATTATTATCAATGTTGAACACAGTCGTGCTGCACAATATTTTTGTGGAAACTGTGATGCATTTTATTTTTCAGGATTCACAGATGAATAGAAAGTTCAAAAGAACGGCATTTATTTGAAATAGAAATCTTTTGTAACATTATAAACGTCTTCACTGTCACTTTTTATCAATTTAATGCATCCTTGATTAACTTTTTAGTGGTAATGTATCAGGTTTTATATTATTAAGCAGCAGATCAGCATATTATACTGATTTCTGAAGATCATGTGACACTGAAGACTGGAGGAATGATGCTGAAAATACAGCTGCGCATCACAGAAATACATTACAGTTTAACAGAGATTCACAGAGAAAACAGCTGTTTTACATTCTAATAATATTTCACAATTTTATTGTTTTTGCTGAGAATTCTGTCAAAAACATAAATATATATTTTTAGCTTTATATCTGCATTTCAAAGTTTGGCTTCCGTTCTCTCTCAATAACGTCTCATTTGGTTTAGCATGCATATTTAACACATGCAATTTTTTTAATTTTATTTTTAGCCTCAACATTGCAAAAATTCAGTACAATCTTACATTCTCACGTTAGTTTTTCATATTCTAGATATTTCATTTTAGTTACATCAAATGCCTCTAACCAATTCCTCCAATTTGATGACCAGCGAAAAACAAGAACAGTACAATTAAAAACAAATACATAAATCTATTGATAAAAATAAGTAAATAAGGGACGTTCGGGTGACTTTAAAGTAGTTAGGTCAAATAATATAGTATTTTATTGCATTAATAAAGAATTAACAAACTTTTATCTTTTGTAAAGCTGCTTATAGCTGATTTAGAATTTAATCAGTGGCTACCGTCAACTGTTTGCTTACCAACATTCTTCAAAATATCTTCTTTTGTGCTCAACAGAAGAAAGAGACTCAGGTTTGGAACGAGAGTAAATTATGACAGAATTTTCATTTTTGGGTGAACTGTCCCTTTAATGACTCCAGATAAACATGTGTCCCTGCAGCACAGAAGCAGTGTTGAGTCGCTGGGGGATATTTGTAGCAATAGCCAACAATACATTGTATGGGTCACAATTATACATTTCTCTTTTATGCCAAAAATCATTAGGATATTAAGTAAAGATCATGTTCCATGAAGATATTTTGTAAATGTCCTACCGTAAATATATCAAAACTTAATGTTTGATTAGTAATATGCATTGCTAAGAACTTCATTTGAACAACTTTAAAGATGATTTTCTCAATATTTAGATTTTTTTGCACCCTCAGATTCCAGATTTTCAAATAGATGTATTCTCAGCCAAATATTATCCTCTCCTAACAAGCTCATTTATTCAGCTTCAGATGATGCATAAATCTAAATGTCAATAAATTGACCCTTATGAGTGGTTTTGTGCTCCAGGGTCACATATATGTACTGAACTCAGTTATGTCTGATATTAAAGGGAATCTTTTAGCCATCTTAGCAGGATCTGCTGTCTGTGTTCAGGCGAGACGCTGGGAATCCCGGACACAGTGATGGGAATGACGCTCCTGGCGGCAGGAACCAGCATCCCGGACACCGTGGCCAGCGTGATGGTGGCTCGCGAAGGTAAAGAAACCCTCACACGTCCAAACGGCACACAGCGCAGAGCGTGCGGTTGATCAGTGACTCGTCTCTCGCAGGTAAAGCTGACATGGCCATGTCCAACATCGTGGGCTCAAACGTCTTCGACATGCTGTGTCTGGGTCTGCCGTGGTTCATCAAGACGGTGTTTGTGGACTCTGGGTCTCCGGTGGAGGTCAACAGCAGCGGCCTGGTCTTCATGTCCTGCACGCTGCTGCTCTCCATCGTCTTCCTCTTTGTGTCCGTTCACATCAACGGCTGGAAGCTGGACTGGAAGCTGGGTCTGGTGTCTCTGGTGTGTTACGTGCTCTTCGCCACGCTGTCCATCCTCTACGAGCTCGGGATCATCGGGAACAATCCCATCCGCGCCTGCGCCGACTGATGAGCACTGCAATGATACACAGCTGGGGAACCATCGTGTGAGGACACTTTATGGACAAAAAGTTTTTTTCACTGCATTGCTTTTAGTGCATCAGTGCCTCATGTTCATGTCAAACAATGGGCCATGAAGTGATTCTGTAACAAGGGATGCTTTTGACCTCACTGTATCATGAAACATTCACACATTCACATAAAACATTCTTTTATGCTCTTCAATCATGTTAAACTAAAGCAATAAGCCCTGTGAAGCCGTGGTGAAGGGGCGTTGTTAGGTAAATTCACTGTAAACCACGGCTTCACGGGGATTACTGCTTTTATAAAACGGTTATTCCATATACGTAGTAAGGTTTCACAAAATAAAACAGAGTAAATAAAATGTAGTGATATTAATAAACACAGTATTCTTCCACCAAACAATGTAGCTCCTCAGAAACAGTTGTGGTTGCTACAAAGTGGTTGCCGAGCAACACACAAACCTAAACAAAGGTGTGTGTTACTTTGTAGAGTCATTCACAACAGCTTCGAACACGGCTCAGCCAATCAGAGTCAAGCACCGGAACTCTCCGCTTTATAAAGTGTCATTTACCATCACATCATTAAAAGTCTAAAAAGTCATTAAAAGTACATTTTGTACATTTTTACGCTTCATCGGAACAGAATGACACTTGGTGACTTTTGTTTTGTCGCATTAGCTGTGAACACAAAAACATCATGGTGTCATCATATACATGGTTCAGATATGTTAACGGGTCATTCAAATAAAAAAAAGTATCACTTGGTACCTTTGCGGTCAAAAATGGCCGTGGCAAAAAATAGCTCATAAAAGTTGTATAAATAATGTCAGATATATCAGCGTTACAGTCTTCAGTAATTTGTCTTGTAATGAGCACATTTTTCTGGTTTCCCAGTTTATTTTCATGATGGCAAGAGCTGATTCTTTATAAAACGTTATTGCTCAGGGATTTTGATCAATGTGATAAATGAGAAAAAATCTGTTTTAACAAGAATGAGCTTGTAGTTCAAATTTAATTTGTTTAGTAATCGACCACTGACTGTATCCAAACCATTCTAACAGTGCATCATTTATTTCCACGGTATGTTCAGGTAAATGTCTACCTCAGGCAGTTCACCAGACATGTTTCTTATTACTGTAACACATTACAATAAAAATACTCTCATGGTGCACAAAAAGTGTTTTTGTTTCTATTACGTACAGAACTAAGAATTTGAAAGGCATTTCTTCATTGATGCCTCTTATAAAGCTTACGGTTAAGAACCTGTAACCTTTTAATAAACAACTACTTGGTGACTTTATTTACAATGATTTTTTAAAAATCTCAATCTTAATTTGAGTATTTGAGAAATAGCTTTTTCTTAAAGGAGAAAATAGGAAAAGAGCAGTCAAGAAATGTTTAAGAATGTTAAGAAAAAATTAAAGTTCCTAAGATTAATTATAAGTTCATGAAGTGCAAGTATTGAGAAGTATTTCTTAAGGTCTCAAATATTGAATTTCTTCCCAGGTTTAGATGTCTGATTTTCTTGTTTGATTATAAAAAAGTAATTATGTTGTATTATGTACTTTATGTAGCTAGTGTAATGAACTCAAACATCTTTGAAGACATAGAAGTTATTTTAAATTATATACAAAGATTTTTAAGAATATGAGTTCTTAAGTTTTGTCTTAAGCATATTCCTAAGAAGTATTTTTGGGAATACAAAATATTAAGATAAAAATTAACAATACAAAAATAGTCAAGAATGTGACACTTGTGTGAGATCTGACAAACTGAGACCCAGACGGAATTTACAACAGCCAGCTTTTTATTTTTTAAAATGTAGTCAGAGACAAACGTCCCACAAATTAAAATGTTACCAAAAAAGAAAAAGCTAAAGTAAAGGTGGTCTCTAACACGTGGAGCTGAAGCTGGTGAGATCGCTGATATGACAGTCATGATGTTTTTAAAACAAAACAAAAGCCGGCCTCTGTGTGTGTGTAAGAGAGTGTGTGTGTGTCTGAAAGAGAATGTGTGTGTGTGAGAGTGTGCGTGCTGAAGCTGGTGAGATCGCTGATATGACAGTCATGATGTTTTTAAAACAAAACAAAAGCCGGCCTCTGTGTGTGTGTAAGAGAGTGTGTGTGTCTGAGAGTGTGCGTGCAAGTGCGTGCGTGCGAGAGTGCGTGTGTGAGTGTGAGTGTGTGTGAGTGTGAGTGTGAGCGAGAGAGAGAGAGAGAGAGTGTGTGTGTGTGTGTGTGTGTGTGTGTGTGAGTGTGTGAGAGAGAGTGTGTGTGCGTGTGAGTGTGAGTGTGAGCGAGAGAGAGAGAGTGTGTGTGTGTGTGAGAGTGTGTGAGTGTGAGCGAGAGAGTGTGTGTGTGTGTGTGTGAGTGAGTGTGTGAGTGTGAGCGAGAGAGAGAGAGTGTGTGTGTGTGTGAGAGTGTGTGAGTGTGAGCGAGAGAGTGTGTGTGTGTGTGTGTGAGTGAGTGTGTGAGTGTGAGCGAGAGAGAGAGAGTGTGTGTGTGTGTGAGAGTGTGTGAGTGTGAGCGAGAGAGTGTGTGTGTGTGTGTGTGAGTGAGTGTGTGAGTGTGAGCGAGAGAGAGAGAGTGTGTGTGTGTGTGAGAGTGTGTGAGTGTGAGCGAGAGAGTGTGTGTGTGTGTGTGTGAGTGAGTGTGTGAGTGTGAGCGAGAGAGAGAGAGTGTGTGTGTGTGTGAGAGTGTGTGAGTGTGAGCGAGAGAGTGTGTGTGTGTGTGTGTGAGTGAGTGTGTGAGTGTGAGCGAGAGAGAGAGAGTGTGTGTGTGTGTGAGAGTGTGTGAGTGTGAGCGAGAGAGTGTGTGTGTGTGTGTGTGAGTGAGTGTGTGAGTGTGAGCGAGAGAGAGAGAGTGTGTGTGTGTGTGAGAGTGTGTGAGTGTGAGCGAGAGAGTGTGTGTGTGTGTGTGTGAGTGAGTGTGTGAGTGTGAGCGAGAGAGAGAGAGTGTGTGTGTGTGTGAGAGTGTGTGAGTGTGAGCGAGAGAGTGTGTGTGTGTGTGTGTGAGTGAGTGTGTGAGTGTGAGCGAGAGAGAGAGAGTGTGTGTGTGTGTGAGAGAGTGTGTGTGAGAGTGTGAGTGTGTGAGTGTTTGTGTGTGAGTGTGTCTCAAGCGTTGCGGTCGATACGAACATCAACCTCTCGTCCGTTGATCTTGGTTCCATTCATCATGCGGCAGGCTTTCTCTGCGCTCTCAGGAGAGTCGAAGCGCACCGTCCCGCAGCCTTTGGATTTGCCGTTCTCCATCTTTATTTCAGCGTACATCACCTGACCTGAAGAACAGAGACGTTCATTCTTAAGCTTGTAATGTTTTAAATCAAATGCTGCTGTAGTAGAAATGAGACTCGCGTACCGCAGTGACTGAACTTCTCCTTGAGCTTCTGCCAGGTCAGATCGTACGAGAGCTGCGGAAACACACACACAGACGATTCTCATCAAACACACTTCAGTGACACACACACACACTCTCATCAAACACTTCAGTGACACACACACACAGACTCACACACTCTCTCTCTCTCTCTCTCATACAAACACACACACACACTCACGATTCTCATCAAACACACACTTCAGTGACACACAAACACACTCTCATCAAACACTTCAGTGACACACGCACTCTCTCACACACAGAGACGATTCTCAACACACTTCAGTCACACACACACACACTCCATCATGTTCACTCATCATCATACGTACGTTTCTCACAAAGATCTGGCATCCGGCCTTAGACCCCGCCCCCCTGTCACTCATTCCACCCATGTGACCCGAGCCGCCTCCGTACTGGCCGAAGCCACGCCCCATGTCCATGTTCCCGCCCATCCGGTCGAAGCCGGAGTTCATGCGGTCCATTCCCATATTCACCATCGCTCCGCCTCCTGAAACACACACACATTTATATACATACTGTAGATATTACAGTGAGCAATGACGGAGTCATAACAACTGCTCAGCGTTTCTGCAGCGTTAAGTAAAGTAAAGGGAAAACTTTTTTTAAAGACTAAGTAAAGAAATGTCAGGAATAAACTGAATGGAACACAATACGTCAGAATGATCTCTAAATGTAAATGTTGTGTATAAGCAACACTTCAGACTGAAAATACAACTTCCAACAGATCTCCATTACATTTTCATTCATTTTACACAAACATACAAAAGCTTAACTATTCATAAATCAAGATTAGATAAGAAATCCTGTTTTTCCTTTGAATTAGGTTTTGACTGAGCCAATATTTGTCATTTTTTTATCCTAAATTCTCTTAATTTTGATGAATTTATTTGAAAAAAAGATTTCATATTTTGCAGTTTTTTTATATATATTTTTTTAAATGTAAGATTTAAACTATGTTCAATTTCAATGTTCAAGTCTTCATCTGTTCATTTTCTATATGAAGTAAATGTATCTTAAGGATGTTAAGATACTTGTGCTGGAAAACGAGACAGAAATCCTGAGGAAGAGATTGATTTTTAGCAGATCATGAAACATAACTTTATAACGTTCTGCTTTAATTTATGGAAGAGTGAATTAAGACTCGCAGAAACCCTTAAAAAGGGTTTACATCAAATCAGAATAAATAGCATGTGAATGTGATTTTGCGTGTGACCTAATCCAGAGCCCATGGGTCCCATCCCAGCATTCCCCATTCCTGCATATCCTCCACCTGATGGACAGAGAACAGAGAGTCAGCATCAGCTCGCCGTCCATGTTCCCGCCCATCCGGTCGAAGCCGGAGTTCATGCGGTCCATTCCCATATTCACCATCGCGCCGCCTCCTGAAACACACACACATTTATATACATACTGTAGATATTACAGTGAGCAATGACGGAGTCATAACAACTGCTCAGCGTTTCTGCAGCGTTAAGTAAAGTAAAGGGAAAACTTTTTTTAAAGACTAAGTAAAGAAATGTCAGGAATAAACTGAATGGAACACAATACGTCAGAATGATCTCTAAATGTAAATGTTGTGTATAAGCAACACTTCAGACTGAAAATACAACTTCCAACAGATCTCCATTACATTTTCATTCATTTTACACAAACATACAAAAGCTTAACTATTCATAAATCAAGATTAGATAAGAAATCCTGTTTTTCCTTTGAATTAGGTTTTGACTGAGCCAATATTTGTCATTTTTTTATCCTAAATTCTCTTAATTTTGATGAATTTATTTGAAAAAAAGATTTCATATTTTACTCTCTCTCTCTCTCTCGCACGCACTCTCTCTCACACGCACACACACACACACTCTCTCTCTCTCACACACGCACACTCTTTCTCACATGCACGCACACACACACACACACACACACTCGCTCTCTCACACGCACACACGCACTCTCACACGCACACACACGCACTCTCTCACACGCACACTCTCACACACGCACTCTCTCTAACACACACGCACTCTCTCTCACACACACGCACTCTCTCTCACACACACGCACTCTCTCTCTCACACACACGCACTCTCTCTCTCAC